GGGGAAAGCTATACATATTTATGAGAGGAGCTGAGTGCATGCACAATGGGTAAACATATATGTAACCCTCATCCCATGCCCACTTTGGGGCAGAGTTTTAGCATTAAAATGAGGTATAATTTGGCTCTTTATGTCAAAAGATGAACACAGGACACAAAAACAGTTTATGTACAGCCTCTATCAGCTGGTGAAACTGGTTTAAGTTCTGCAGTTGCTTATCAGAAGAGAATGTTTGTAAGGCCGGTCCTCTGTCCAATCAGAGTTAGTAGGGATATAATAGTCCTGAACCCCCAACCCATAGGTAACTTTAACTTTTGTTTCCTTAACCTTAGGGTCTATCTTAGTTGACAAGGGAGCTTCTCAGATCACTTCTTCGTAATATTCCCCCAATCTCCATTCCATTCTTACCTCCCATCCTATACACTTCCCAGAAAGGGCTCTAAATCATCAAACTGCTATTCCCTTGTACACGCCAGTCCCCCGGTCTGGAATGCTCCCCTCAGCCTCCCCAGATTTTCTGCCTGGCCAACTCCTACTCATTCACCAAGACCTGCTGCTTCTGCCACATCTTGCCTAATCCTGGCTGGCAGTTTCATCTGTCTCTAATCAGACCTCCCTTGGTGCCCTGTGCTTTCCATTAACACAGCACTTACCATACCAAATCACAATTATCTCCACTTGGCTATCTGACAAGAGCTCAGATTTAACGTGTTCAGAAGTTCGTTTCTACTGATTTTTCTGTAAGTAAGATTTAACAGGAGGTGGATCTTGAAGCCATCCATTTTTACTTCTCCCAGAAGCCTTGCCCCAGTCTTAGAGACAAGCTATAGAATCTCACCAACTTCATTAAAATTACAAAAATGCCCAGAGAGCAGCCATTTGGTAATAGGGTGCTACCAAATAAATACAGGTAATGCTTTAAAGGCAGTTAGGATCATCACAGCGTTCCTGTAGACACAGAGAGTTGGGCAGGTATAGCAATTGAGAAGTCCCCTCAGATTAGGCAGACTTTTTCCAACCTGCCTCCACTAGTTGCTGTCTGTTCTAGACGAGTTACATCATATGTAAGCCTCAATTTCCTAATTTGTAAATGGAAATAACTTACCTGGTTACTGTGGTTACCACGTGTCATGTGCTGTTCTGAGTGCTTTAAATATGTTAACTTTCTTTTTCTTTTGCAGACGGGGTCTCACTCTGTTGCCAAGCTGAAGTGCAGTGCCCCAATCATGGCTCACGGAAGCCTCGACCTCCCAGACTCAAGCAATCCTAGCTCCTTAGCCTCCAAAATAACTGGGACCACAGGTGCTGGCAACCACACCCAACTAATTTTTTATTATTATTATTTTTTACCCTTGGCAACCAAAAGTGCTGGGATTACAGGCGTGAGCTACCACGCCCAGTCTAAATATGTTAATTTATTTATCTTTAGAACAGTGGTATAAGGTAGGCACTATTATCCTATTTTACAGAGTCAGAAACTGGCAGAGAGTAACTTGGGCCAGGATATACAGCTAATAACTGGCAGAAACAGGATTCCAACATAGGCAGTGGAGGGTCGGAGTCCTTGTCATAAGACGCATTGCACAGGCCTGTATTGATTAAGTGAATAATGCGAGTAAAGGGCCTGGCAATGAGTAGGCACGCTTGATTGTTTTAAAATGTAAAACTCCTTGGCCTGGAGATCGAGAATTATTTAAAAGCCCCTTATATTCTGCGTGAACCCAGCAGGTGTTTTCCCTTGCATATGAAATGGATGGTTGAAAAGGACATTGGAGACAAGTCTTGGGTTCGTACAGCCTTTCGGCTCTTTTACCCAGATCCTTTTTAAGTACAAGCGGAAGTAACCGATGCGCAAAGGACCCACTTCCGGTGTTATCCCAGGTCTTTCGCAGCTGAGCAAAGACAAGATTGTCCTCTTCCCACGCCGCCTCCTTCCGGGGCTGACCCCTTTCCCGTGAGAGCCCCGCCTCAGCAAAGGTTTGGTTTAACACCGGTGGAGGTTGGAAGACGGAGCTGCGCCTCCCGTCTTTCAAACAATGGATTTCCTTGTTCCTTCTCACTGTTTGGTAAAGTCGGTCCCTCCTCTCCCAGCCGCCAGAAGGCGCTGCATCCTGTGGCTCGAAGCCCAGGAGGCTCTTGGATACGGAAGTGACTTTACGCTACCGGAAGTCCGTGGCCTCGAGGGATGGGGACCGTGAGCTGGGGGTTTCGGCGGCTGGAAGTTGAGCAGTCGTGGTTCCGCCTTGCGGTAGTTTCCACCTCTGACAGTCTCATGTGCTCAGATGGGAAAACTGAAGCTTTTGGAGGCAGGAGCTTCTCCTATTTACACAGCGAGTAACTCCTCAGACAAGCTCTTCCCATACGACTCGCCAGGACCGAGGGACGACATTTGCTCGGCCTGAGGAATCCCTGAGGCAAGTCTCACGGAACTGTGGCCGTTCCACACATGGAGAAAGCGAAACCCAGAGAGGGACCTGCAGCGTACAGGGACCTGCCAGAGTAGGGCTACCAGATTTAGCAAATAAAATGCAGGACGGCCGGTTGAAGTTGAATTTCAGGTAAACGATGAGTAATGCTTTAGTATAAGACTATCCCAACTATTGCAATGAGACATGTATGCTAAAAAATTACTCATCTTTTATCTGAATTCAAATTTAATTGGATATCCTGTATTTTATTTGGCAACCCTACCCTAAGGTCACCTAAGTGGAAAAGCAGAAAGCGCTATGTTGGGGAGGGTCCTATATGCCTCCCTGCCTGGGGCTTACTAGTGTATGGAGCTGGGTTCTCCCCAAGTGTGACCCTGACGTTATTTTAACGGCCTCTATCTCGTTTCAGTCGATGATCTCGCCACTGCAGGATCTAGACCTATTCAGGAGCTGACAAGGAGCCACATCCTGCATTCTCATTCAGGGGCACCACACCACCACCACTCAGACTAGTTTATTCAAAAGACACTGTCTACTCTGTGCTAAGCACAGTCTTAGGTTCCAGATCACACTAGAAAGTAGAAGAAACACTCCCTGTCTTTGTGGAATCAACAGGATTAGAGATGCAGGAAGACAAGGATGTAGAGAGAAAAACTACAGTACCTTATGATCAGTAGTTCTTTAATAGGGATAAATACAAGATGCATGAAAGTCCAGAAATAGAACACCTAATCAAGGCATAGAAAGTAAGAGAAAGGAGACACCCAAGCTGTGGGAATCAACTGAAGGGCTTTCAGCAGAGGACTGACAAGCTTGGATTCATGTTTCAGAAAGATCCCTCTGACCGCTAGAAGGCTATGTCAGATCATTTTACTGGTTGAATTTACACAGGCTTGGCTGTTTATCCCAAAGGTGTCAGGAAGAGTGTTTAAAATGGGGCAAAAGGATTGTGGAACCCCCATCCTTTTGTCTCCCCCTTGTTCCCCTTACAGCTGGAATGAGCTGGCTTGGGCAGGTGGGTTTTCTAGGTGAAGGATGATTCCCACCCAGAGAGACACCATCTTCCTCTGATCTAGGGTGAACAGAGTTGACAACTTGTGTGTCTGGCCTCCACAAAGTTTCCTGGCTGTGTCCGCCTTTCAGACTGTGGGCAGAGGTGAAGGAAGCACATGCTACTACCAGCCCCAAGGGTCTTCGCCCTCTACCCCTTTTGAATATACTTTTTTTTCTTTTGTTTTTTATTTTGAATACACTTTCAATTAATCTGCCCAAAGATCCTGTCATGCTTCTGCTCCAGAAGCATAGAGGGCTCCCTACTGCCTACAGAATTAAGTTCGGACTCCTGGCTCTGTAATTCAAGGTCCTCTGTGACCACGCTGCACTGTGAGCTCCCTCAGAACTCAGAGGGACTTAACTCTGCATCACCAACATCCACCACGGGCTATAGCCACCGTAAGTGCTCACTACATGCTCAGGAATTACCTTTCAACATCACTTATTGAGCACTTAATGACATGCTAAGTCCTGGACTGAGTACTTTACACCCATTTCATTTTTCTTTTGAGACGGAGTCCCGCTCTATCGCCCAGGCTGGAGTGCAATGGTGCGATCTCGGCTCACTACAACCCCCACCTCCCGGGTTCAAGTGATTCTTCTGCCTCAGTCTCCTAAGTAGTTGGGATTACAGGCACGTGCCACCACGCCCAGCTAATTTTTTGTATCTTTAGTAAGACAGGGTTTCACCATGTTGGCCAGGCTGGTCTCAAACTCCTGACCTCAGGAGTGAACCACTGTGCCTGGCCTTATACCCATCTCATTTAATCTTCACAATAACCCTCTGAGGGAAATATAGTTAGCAGCCGCATTATACAAATGAGTAAACAGATTCAGACAGGTTCAGAGCATGTTTATTCATTTGCCCATTTGGCATATACTTTTTGAGCACCTACTCCATTCTAGGTGATGAGGACATAGCAGTGAAAAAATCAGGTTTATTCCAAGAGCGCAGAGCTCACATTCTAGAAATACTGACAGTTTCCCTTGTGTTATGGAATACATTATGGAATTACATTATAGAGTTATGTTATGGAGTTACAGAGTTTTTCTATAATGAAAAAGAAAACCAGTTAAGGGAAAAGAGAGAGACTGGGACATGCTGTTTTCTAAAGGGAGATCTAGAAAGCTTCCCCTAAGGAAAACATTTGAGCAGAACCTGAATGGAGTGAGGCCCACAGATAACCCAGGAAGATCATTCTAGAGAGAGGGGACAGTGTGGCCAGGACCCAGTGTGTGAGGGACAAGCGTGAGAATCGGAGAGGCAGTTGGCCAAGGACTTTGAATTTCTTTTTTTTTTTTTTGAGACGGAGTCTTGCTGTCACCCAGGCTGGAGTGCAGTGGCGCGATCTCAGCTCACTGCAACCTCTGCCTCCCGGGTTCAAGTGATTCTTCTGCCTCAGCCTCCTGAGTAGTTGGGATTACAGGCGCCCGCCACCACACCTGGCTAATTTTTAGTAGAGACGGGGTTTCACCATGTTAGCCAGGATGGTCTTGAACTCCTGACCTCATGATCCACCCACCTCGGCCTCCCAGAGAGCTGGGATTACAGGCGTGAGCCACCATACTCAGCAGGACTTTAAATTTCATTCTTGGTGAAATGGAATCCCAGGAGGCACAGCATCTGGCTGCTGAGTAGAGGATGGACTGTGGAAGGAAAGGGGGAAGAAGGGGCCAGGTCTGAGTGTGAGAAGATGGAAACTCAGGTATGTTAACTCATTGAGGGAGAGAAAGAGAGAGGGAGCATGCGCACAGGAGGGGCTTCAGGAGGCACAGGTGGGTTGTAGGGAGGCATTGCAAAGAGGACGTTTCTCAGGTGGGGCTCCAGGGAAGGATGAGTCGTGAGAGGCCAACAGGAACATCTGGTTTCAGAGGCAGCCAGGAGGTATGAGGAGCCACTGCCAGTGGGCTGCTTAGCAAGGAGCTTGGAGAGGCAATGCCCATGTAACCAGGACGCGGCGAGACCCCTGGTTAGATTCGCCTGCACAAGCCCTAATCTACCATTCTCCACATTTCATGCTCTTTTTCTTCTCTTTAGAAAAAGATTGAAATAAACAAAAACAAATAATTGGGGGGAAATGACTTAACTATTATCCTCAAGTAAGCCACATCAAGTTTTGTGTATATCTTTCTCGGAAAAGTAAATTTCACATCCTCGCTGCAAATGGAACTTGAAACACTAGAAAGTCTCCAGTGAGAAATCTGTTCAAGCTCCATGACAGCTACTGTTATTTCAAAAGCCACAGAAGTCCACCTCAGTGGACCTGCTGAAAAGAGGGAACCAAGTACACCTGGGTCTCACTGCAGCCAGCCATGAGATCTCCCCAGGGCTCCTGGACTCTTCACAGCAGATGCCTGGTTCCAGCAGAAAAACCTATGTCCCCGCAAAAGAAGTGTGAGTGCTTGGAGAACTGAGATGGAAGAAGTCTTAGAGTCTGATAGACGATTATGGGCTTGGTAATACCTGTAAATTGTGGCTTTGGTGGATCACAGAAGGTAATAGAGTAATCCTTTCTGATTGCCCTGAGTCTCTTGATATCCTGAGCTTTCAGCCTATTCATTGTCAGAGTACCAAAAACTGGATTCAACCTGGAAAAGGAGACACCCCTGGTTTGGGAAAGCACCTAGTTCACTCCAAACCCATGGCACATTGCCTCATGAGATGACCTCATGCAGTTCCCAGGACTGGCTGAGATACTGAAGGAGGATGGCCAGGCTTACCCAGAGAGAAGCTCAAGTGAAGATAGAAAATTCATCACAATACAATGTCCAGAATAAGCAGATCCACAGAGATGGAAGGTAGATTCGTGTCATCAGGGACTGGGGAATGGAGAAAATGGAGAGTGACTGCTAATGGATATGGTATTTCTTTCTAGGGTGATGAATATATCCTAGAATTAATGGTGGTGATAGTTACACAACTCTGAATACGCTAAAAATCACTGACTTCTGCAATTTGTTATTATTATTGAGACAGAATCTCACTCAGTCACCCAGGCTGAAGTACAATGGTGCGATCTCGGCTCACTGCAACCTACGCCTCCCTGTTGAAGCGATTCTCCTGCCTCAGCCTCCCCAGTAGCTGGGATTACAGGTGCCTGTCACCATACCCGGCTAATTTTTGTATTTTTAGTAGAGATGAGGTTTTGCCATGTTGGCCAGGCTGGTCTCAAACTCCTGACCTCAGGTGATCCACCCACCTCAGCCTCCCAAAGTGCTGGGATTACAGGAGTGAGGCACCATGCCCAGCCTTCTGCACTTTAAAAGGGTGAATTTTACTGCATATGAATTATATCTCAAATCCTTTAATTGCAGCAGAAAAATATTTAGGGTTCCCTGCAGCCACTGGGGGGGGACTCTAAAATCTGAACTCCTTTGCTCAACAGCTCACACACCCCAGCTGCATAATTTGGGAACCTGGCAGTGTGAGGGAGCCTTTGTCCTGATAAGCACTGCCAGTCTCAGGGGATGCCAGGACCGTCAGCATTGAACACACCAAAACTCTGTGCCCAGCCCTGTTGTAACAAGCACTGCCCAAAGAAGCAAAGTTGACCACCCGGTGTTTGCTCTCCTCTGACGGCCTGGCCAACCTGAAGGGAGAGCACGGGTGCAGAGTCCACTCAAAACCTCCCGCACACCCATTTCTTGGCCCTGTATCTTCTGTACGAATTTTCACGGCTGTGTTAAATACTCCATTGCCCCTCCTCTGGGCCAGGCCTTAGGCTGGGCATTGGGCTCACACAGAGGCCATTCACCAGTTATGAGCTACATAACTGCCTACCTGAGCCCCTGACAGCAGCCCCTTCCTTATGGCACCAGGCCTGAGGGCCCATGAGGAGGAGAGAGATGAGTCAGCTAGGGTGAGTGCCGGTGGGGGAGGCATGCACTACAGCCAGGAGGGCTCAGGATGGAGGCAGAGGGCATAGGCTTTTCAGCGCAGAGTGGGGAAATCTTGCCCTCAGCCTAGCCCAGGCTGCTTTGTGAATCAAACTGCCAGATTCCGCTGCAGTTTTTAAAAACCTAAGTATTTATTTATTTGCATTATATTTACAAAGGTGGGAAGGAGACCCCAAGGACACCCCCACACCTGGCTGACCAGGCCCCTTTCGCTGCAGAGGAGGCAGACACGGCTAGAAGGGACAGGATTTATGTTGCATACTTGAACTACAGCGAGTGTAAGACTGGTCCTATTTACAGAGCAGAAACATTACAGGTGGAGCGCAGGGGTGGCAGGGTGGGCACCGGAGTCCTGGCCAAGGGTACCCTTGCCTGCCATCTTCCCCACCTCTCCCAGAGGCATCTCTGAGGCCCCGCTGGGGTTCTCCGGGGAGGAACGAGGCCCGCTCACATGATGCTCGCAGGGGTGAAGACAGGGCCCACGCACAGGGTGTCTGTGATCTCCCAGCCGCAGGACAGAGGCTTGCACACACCCTCCACGTCATCATCCTGTTCTGTAGCCATCAGCTGCCTTCGCAGTGCTTCCCTAGGGGTAAGAGAGGGGTGCTGCAAGTAGCCAGCATGGGGCTGCCAGGCCCCTGTACCTGGAGACACAGCCCCATTGGGGCATAGGGCTCTCACCTGAGCCCGAGCTCAGCTGAGGGCAGGGACAAGGGCAGGCTGCTGACCCCTCCCCAACTACTCCTTACTCCCATGTGGCCCCCACCCCTCAACAAAGGAAAGAAATCCACACATATTGAGCATTTACTGTGTGTCAGACATTATGCCAGGCACTTAATATTATCGATTTGTATCTTCCCAAAAACCCCATGAGGGAGGCATTACCATCCCCTTGCATTGATGATGTAATCAATCAGTTCCCCAGAGAGGGAAGTGACCTGCCTACAGTCACACCCCAGTAGGTGGTAGAACTAGGACTGAACCCAGCCCTCCAAAGCCCACATTCATCACACCCCCAACAAAATCGCCCATTCTCTCAAACAATCCCACAAACTGTTTCTCCTCCTTTATACTCATGTTGATAAATGGCTCCACCATCAGATTTGGAAACAGCTGGCAATCTTGTTCCCGCACCCAGTCAAGCCCTGCTGAGCCCAACTTCTGGCCACCCTCATGTGCCCAGTGGTCTCCATCCCCACGGGTAACACCATTTCAGTCTCCCTGATCTGTTCGTGCCCTTTGCAGATAGTTCTCAGCCAGGACCCAGGTTCACCTTTCCAAAAAGCAACTCCCTGCTCTTGAGCTGCCAGCAGCTTCTCTCTGCTCTCAGGCCCTGCAAGATCCAGCCCTACCTGCCTCTCCTGCCATACTCCCAGCCACACCTGCCCACATACCTGGGCCATCCACAGTGGCCATCGTTTGGGCTCTTAACATATGTCCGCTCCCCAGCCTGGGCCCATGCTTGTCTCTCTGCCTGCATCATCAACCCTCACCTAATTCCTTCTTAACCTTCAGATCTCAGCTTTGGGTGACAATCCTGAGACAACACAGCAGAGGGACTGAATGCACCTGGGCAAACTGCTCCTGCTTTCTGTAGCCCTCTCCCTACCAGCAAAGAGGGGCCCTTCACCACTGACTAGCTGTGTGACCTCAGAAGAATGACTCTGTTTGTGATAATGCTGACCCCCACAGAGTTTTGTGGGGGTGAAATAGTCATACGACACCTAATGTGAGGCCTGATGTCAGGGTTCACTGGCTGTGACTCCCTCATCTTGCATACCTCTTGCCTCACTGGATCCCCTGCACTAGCCTGGGGGGGCAGGTAGGGCTACTGTTATGCCTATTTTCTAGGTGGAAAGACCGAGGCTCAGCAAGCAGGCAGACCAAGTCTTTCCTGTGTCACACAGCAGCCACCCGACTGGTCAGCTCTGCCTGCATCTGCCCTTGTCCTCAATCTACACAGGAGCTAGGGTGGTCTTTCCAATGTGCAAAACAGATTGTGTTATGCCCCTGCTTCAAACTGGTTCATGCTTCCCGCTGCTCTCAAAGTGTGTCACTCAGCCTTCAAGCCCTTCCCAGATCTAGCCCTGCCTCCCTCTCCAGTCACAGCCACCCTCCATGAGAGCCTTGAATGCACCACACTTGCTCTCTGTTCCTTTCTTCCGGGAAGCCCTACCACCCCCTCCTGTGGTTGACTCCCACTTCCTCAGGGAGGGCTCTGTGCTTCCACTGGGCACAGTATTACGAGGGCCTGTCTGCTTCTCTGTGTCTCCCTCAGGGCTGTGAGCTCTCTAGGAAAGCCCAGCCTCACTCATGGCCACAGCCAGGTGCCAAGCATAGGCCTCATGAGGGGTCAGCAGCCAACGGCTACTTGTCAAATTGGATTACACAGAAGCGGAATCTCAAATCTCAGGTTTCCCTCATTTCTGCCCAGTTTTTCCCCATACCCCCATTTTCCAGCAGGACCCTCTTACCAGGCCACCCGGGACATGGCATAGGTGATGTGGCAGACCTGGGTCCCCCCGAAGGGGGAACCCATGCCCATGGTGTAGGCGCCCATGTTGTCAAAGACCAGCCAGTCCCCTACATGTAGTTGCGGCAGCCACAGGCCCTCAGCCACGCAGTCACAGCCATCAACCGCCGGGCCCCACAGGCTGCTACTGTACAGGGGCTGTTCCGTGGAGGGTTTCTGTAGGAGGAAAGGATGACCATGCCAGCTCTCCTGGGCATACAACCGCCTTGCCACTCCCTCCCTCAAAAGCCTTCTATGGCTCCCATAGCCACAAGGATAAAGTCTAGATGGCCCTCCTAGCTTAGTATTTAAGGCCCTTCTCACTTCTCTGTATTCATTGCCTCTTACACTCTGAAGTCACAAATGCCTGGTCTTAAATCCAGGTTTCAACAGTTGAGAGCTGTGTGACCTTCTCCATATCTCAGTTTGCTCATTTGTAAAATGGGGATAACAATAGTACCTACCTTGTAAAGTTACTGCAATAATAAATGACTTAGTGTAAGGAAAGCATGCAGAACAGTGGCCGACACACAGCGAGGGTACATGGAAAGTCAGCACAATTGTAACTGTTACTGTTGTGATTGTTGTTGTTGTCACCTCTGTGCTTTGGTCTTCACTGACCTCTTTCCAGACCTCAGCATGTCCACATGTCCACAGACCTTCCCCGACCCTCAAATCCAACCTGTCTTCTGAGCCCAGCCCTGGGGCACCCTCATCTATGAAGGCCTCCCAGATGTCCTCACTCCATGCCAGGCCCAGTGACAGGAGCCAGCACTGCACAGGTGGGTTAGACTCAGCCTCCCTCAGGCCCTCAGTCTCATGAGAAAGACGAGTCTCCAACAACAATCACAGGGGGACCTGGCAGAGGTCACAAAGGACCCCATGGAATAGACACAGTGACTCCCATTTCAGAAAAACTGAGGCTCTGAGAGGTTAAATGACTTGCCCAAAGACACAACTACCACTGACATACAATTTAAGATTTTTTCTTTTAAATGATTTCCAAATCCAGAAAAGAAATTTGCAACACAGATCTTTTGTGGACAACTAAGGTATCGATGCCATTTGTCACACAGTAGGCAGGGATCCTGCCAGGCAGGTCCTAGAGTCAACACTGAAAGGTGGACGATGCTGACTGTTCCTCTCAGGGGCCTCTTCTACCCTCACTGCCCTTGCAGATACTCCAGTGACTCCAGTTGCTCTGTCTCCCTAAGTAAACCCTACTTCCCTTCCCATACCTCCTACCTTCCCCCATGCTATTCCCTGAGACCCCACATCTGCAAACTCCTATTTTTCCTTTAGATCCCAGCTAAAGTGGCTTCGGGGAAGCTTTTCCTAAAGCTCCATGCTCCCCCAACCTTTGCTTTCATAGCATCTACCATAACTCATAAATATTTGTGCAATATCTGCT